TTTTTTTTTGATCAAAAGTAAATTAATAAAAATAAGTGAAAAATTCGCGCTTGATTTTATTTTGACTTTTTTTTTGTTTAAGTTGTGGCTCTTGCCACCGTAGCCGAGTGCTTAGATGTGTCCACTGCCAATCGGGTGGTACATGTTTAAATTTCTGCTCCCAGAATCATCAAAAGAGGTTTATTCAAATAGCGGTAACCCTTCGGCCGACAATGGCAAACCCCTGATTGTAGTTCTGCCATAAAAAAGCTTCTTCGGAGATGGAATAAAAGTGTAGATTTCTCCATTCGTCTCACAACAGCAATCAGCAGAACACGAATCGGAAGAGAAGGGCTCGGAAAAACAAGTAAATAGAAAACGTTTAAGCCGCAAATATTCATTTATTGAATTCAAATACTGTTCATCCTTAAATAACCTAGGATATAATTTCAAAACTATTAAACCAGAAAAAGCCTTGTAAACCTCGAAAAACTAAAAACTTTTATTGAGAGGTCAAGATTTGATTGAAATATCAAAATCAGTTCGTTGGATAAAAAAATCTGGATTATATGATATTCGAAAAACGTGTTGGAAACCGGTTTTGAATAACCGATTTAGTCACCCCCTAATGTATATACACATACATGGCGTGCTCTGTCTGCATTTTAATATACGAATATATGCAGCTATGTGCTTATATAGAAGCTGCCACTTGACTGCGTTTGTAGGTTAAACCGCGGTGCTTGCAAGATTCCAAAACTTTTTCTCTTTGTATTGTCTGGCATTATTTCACTTTCTGCAGCTGCATTAACCTTTTTTGTGCTATTTTGTCGTTGTCTTGATCATTATTATATACATATTTTTAAAATATTTAGGCTTGATCTCAATAGAGTGAGAGTCATGTAAGCGTATTTTGAAAAAGAAAAAAATCCTTTACAGGCAGTGGCGTAGACAACTCCATGACGTAGGGGTATCCATGGTATTGATTATAATCATAAGTAAGGGTTGCAGTATCTACGCTTGCTGTTAACTAGTTACTTTTCTTTGAAAGTGGTCCATACTAGTCTGTTGATATGTATTTATATTCATTTAAGTTGAAAGAAATCAAACCAATCAAAATGTTTAAATAAGGTTAGATTATTTAATGATAAGAAATGATATGGAATTTTTGCTAGGTCTATGTATAGGTTATATATTTACTTTTCGGTAGACAAAAGCCTTGGGGGGGTCGAGTGACTGGTGAGTATTTCCAAATAATTTTCTTTTGAAAGGTGCAGCTTTTGCTGCTTTTTTTGCTTTTCATTTACTAACGTTTAGTGAATTTCGGGTGTAAAGCTTTGAAATAACCAAAAATTATGGTGGGTGAAATTGTTTCAGATTTATCACTACCGAGTTGGTACATTTTTCCGCACTCCTCCACATTCGTCGGAATTTTTTTTTTCATCTACGTATACACAGGTGTGCGTACACTAGCATACAATATAAATATGGATACAGTGGAATGCTTCCCTCACCGTCAGCCATCGTTCAACATATTAATTAAAATGAAAGTCATCACTTTAGCTACCGATACATCTGATGATGCCGAATGATGCTGATGTCGCCAATGCCGATGATGGAGCTCTGGCGGATTGGTGGGCGGCGTTTGTCGCCAACACAGCATATCACCATTTCCACTAACACTTCCGAGGATAATATGAAGAATTCCTTTTTTTAAATTTTTCTTGTTAATTTTTTTTGCATTTTTGTTATGGCTTCACTTCACTCGCCGGGGAGTTGCTGCTGCATTAAATTGCAACAAATGTAATTGCGATACATACACACACACAATATATACATGGCTGCACATAAATAAATAAATATATGCAGGCGAGGATGCCAGAGTGGCAGGTTGATCGGCGGCTGGATAGTTGCACGGCTGGCTGCGTGGTGTGGCATGAATATTTTGCGCTCGCTCATCTGCCGTCAACACGCCGCTATGCAATACATTTTATGAAGCACACAAATGCAAATACATAACGTTCTTATGACGGCTTGCATTACTTAATGTGGAAGAAAGTGTATCTGTGTGCGCGCCAAGCGATTTTGCGGAAGTGTAAAAAATGTTGATACGAACTTAAGTGGAGAGTAGTTCAACCTTTTTTGCTAACACATATCTACTTATATATACATACGTACCCACACGTATACTAACAAATACATATATGCAGTCAATTAGTAATGAGTTGAAATGAAAATTATGTTGGGAAAGCGAAGAGCTTACAGATCTTAAGTGTGCGGATTGGCATGAACGTATATACATACATATATGTACTACATACAAAAATACGAATGCTCGTAAACATTCGTACAAATATTACATCAATATGCATAAAAACGCATATAAATCTGTGTTCGTATGGAAAAGTAGCTTATGTCGAAAGGCTGACTTTAATATAAATCGGCATTTGCAGTATACGATTCCGAATGATTCGCTGGCGCTGAGCCGTTGAACAACTTTTAGAAAATAANATGATTTATGTCTAACCCAGTAATCAAGCAGAATTACGATCGCTTTGGACTTATGTTATTTTTTTTAACTCAACCCAAAAAGGAGTGCATTTGATTGCTGCCAGTCTACCTACCCTACTCGTTTGCAATGTCGTATGAGTTATCTATCAACATAACCATTTACTGGTAATTCTATCAACTGTCTTTCGACTCACCACAGGCTTTCGAAAGACAAAAGCCTTGTAATATATATCAAAAAATTAAAAGAAAATTAAATTTAAAAAAATATAAAATTTAATCAAAAGAAGATAACAAAAAAATTTTAAAATTTAATCACAACAAAATAGAAATACGAAAACAAAATAAATTTATATAACTTAAATTACATATAACAAAACATATGTTTCTTTTTAAATAAATGAAATCTAACAATTAAAAGAACATTACATTAAAAAGAAAAAAATACGTTCCTAAAAAATAAATGGAATTACAAAAAAAACATGGTAAGCTAAAATTAAAAAAGAAAAAAGTAAATAATCAAGAAAAAAAGGAATAAGTATAAGTTTCCAAAAATTAAATGAAATGAAAAATATTTCTAATTTTTAAACAATAAAAAGAATACCATTAAGAAAATAAAACAATTTTCTAAAATTAACCGAAAATAAAAAAGAAATTTGTTTCTTTTTAAAACTATAAAATCCAAAACTTAAGAAAAAATTAAAAATACGTTCCTTTAAATTAAATTAAATGAAAAAATATATTGGCCTTTTTTAAAGGAATATACGTATGCAATCTTAAAATTAAAAGGAAATAAAACAAAAACACCAATTTCTAATGTTTCTAAAAATTAAACGAAATAGATAATGTTATTCTTTTTTTTTTTAAATAAAATCTAAAAATTTAATGAAAACAAAACAAGACAATAAAATAAGTTTATAAAAATTAAATTTTTTATTTAATTTTTTTAATTTTTAAAACAATAAAATCTACAAAATTAAAAGAAAATAATTTGAAAAAAAATTGATTGAAAATAAGAAAAACATACGTTCCTAAACATTAAATTAAATAAAAAAAAAGAAATTTTCACTATTGCTATTGAGCATTGTACCACGATTAAGTTATTTAGGAAAAATGGAAAAAAGCAATAAAATCTAAGCGGTTGTTAAAAGTCCTACGCTGAAGATGCCACAACGCCGAAACCAGTTTGTCTGCAAACCAAGCTTGACAAGAGATGACGGAAATTCGTTTCAAAATAAATCTTTCAATTATTTTGCCTACTATCTTTCAATAGTTTCGCAAAAGACTTTAAAATATCTTAGGCAGAATTACCTGTTAATTCGGTGGAAAAACTTGAAAAATTTGAGGCGCTGTAACTTTTTAGTTTATTCATATTTGTTACGTTTTAAAGGAAACAAATGCATCGCTTGATGTTATTAGAATTTAGTTACTCTAAGTCGATGGAGTATAAGAAAAATAAAATAAAATAATCGCATAACCATTACGGCGTAAAAATCTGCGGCAGTTTTAATTTATTCCGCTCATTCCCACTGTTCGACGTAAATAATATATGCAGGTGTTCTTTTTTTTACTTTTTCTGATGTAAAGTCGCAGTAAATACTCACCGAGTTTCTATAATAAAGTGCGTCACTGGTGCATTTCGTGGATGCTGCGAATGCGCCCAAGAAAGATTCACAGAACGCGATGTGAAACTTATTAAGAGTGGGCGCTCAGGTGGATCGGGAACATCTGTAAAATATAAAAACAAACGGCACGAGTATTAATTACGAATTTTCAAAAAATTAATAGCAGTAGTAGTATATTTATTTGATCATTTAAATTTGTATAAAAGCAACAATTATACAAACAAAATAAAGAAGAAGTTATGACAATAACATTATGTGTTGTGTTTCAAGCTAACTGCTAACTAATTAAAAACAATAACATTGCAAGCTATGAAAATTCATTTATAATCAGGTCCCTAATTTTAATGCTAGCAACCACTTTAGCAATATTCGGAGTTTCATTATCAGGGAAACGAGTCCGAATATTACTAAAATAAATCTTATATTTGCCAATAATGTGACGCATGAATGCTTGCCGGTACGTCCATATTGCACGCTGGGCAGAATTATAAGTTCTGGCACTGAGGTTCAGAGGACCTCCCGCGGAAATTAAGCTGACAGGATGTGGGCACTGTATTCGTTGCTGAAATATGTATATTTTATCTAAAGGGATCAGATGTTGGTATAAAATATGCGTTGTTGACTTTTTTGTTAATTCAGTAGAAGTTATTAACCCTTATTTAGGTACTTAGGCTCTCTGAAAGCGAGAATGTGAAAAATGTAATATATAAACTAATATAAGATTGTTAAGCTGGGTCGGGGAAAAATATTTTTAACCAATACAGACACATGATAAAACCGTAGGTAAAAATTGCCCAGCTTTCCCAACACTTTCATTTGAAAAGGTGGTTTTTATAACTATGTATCCATGTTTGACAATCACATAAACATATATGAAAAAACTGTCGACTAAATTGAAATCAAATCTATATCAATAGTCATTTTGCACACATGAACATGTCAACACAACCCAATTTGCCAAACGACTTCGTGGCAACGTCGTTTCCGAATCGTTGTGGTGAACAATTTCTTCGCCGGAGATGTTCACTAACGACTCGCAGGCGAACTCGCCTTAGGATGAAAAACACAAATCGCCGGCGGGCCGCAAAAACGATGCCTAAAAGAGACGCATAAAAAAAACTTCAGTCAAAAGAAAGACTTGTTAACCTATTTTACGTCGAAGAAAGATGCGTAAACTTATTTTCGCGGTCAACCGTATGTGCGAGTGTAAAATTATGCAAATTCTCCAAAGAGTTTTTACTGACGTGATGCCGAAGTGACAATCTATGGCGAGGTATAAATCTATGCTAACGCGTCTTTCTTCGTCGAAGTTTTTCTTAAGCGCCTTTCTTCGTCAAATTTTTGTACGCGTCTTTTTTTCGCCATCAAAACGCTGGCGCGCCTTTATTCGTGTCTAGTGATGATATATGTATAGTAGATATGTATATAAATATAGGGTGCGCCAAATATTAACTGCCAATGTTAAACACGATATTCCAAACATTCAGCACATTTATTGATTGCGCTCAAATTTTTTGCGAGTTGCAGATAACGATGATTCAATCTTCCCCATATTTTACTTTAGGTTTTTCTAATAAAACTGGAGTACATACTAAAATTCATCAAAATCGGGTGAAAATTAATGTCTCCGCCCACAAGAGTGGAGGGCGTGGCAACTAGCTAATTTTTACCAGATTTCATAATTCTCTATTCATCAAGTTTAAGAAAATCGGCGCACGTTAACTATTCTTTCCACATCCATGATATATATATATACACTCAAGAAAAATCACAAGAAATATTTTTGATTATGTCGCTTGCTTGAAAAATTTTCGTGCAGAAATAAATATACAAAATATAAGAAATTTCAATCAAAATAAAATTTTTCCCGGTATCTTTTGCGTAATTGTATATCAATTTTGCGATTTTCTTGAGAAGCAAAGCAAAAAGTCAGTTGCAATGATGTTATTTTTTTGATCAACTTTTAACTATTATTATTAAATTTTGTGTAGTATTTTATAAGATCAACTCACCATGCACCAGCAGATCTACTATCGCCTCCGGTATGTGACGATCATTGACAAGGCAAAAGTACTCTGCCGTATCGGTGGCGATGGCTGGATTAAACTGCAGCCCAAAATTATCCGAGAGCAGTTGTATCTGGAAAGAGAAAACCAAAATGAGATATGAAGGTTTCTTTTTTCACTTTAAACAATTAAAGGTAACCAAAAATTTTTGATCCTTGTCTTTGATTGAAATTTGTAATGAGCTTCGATTAGTGGTAGGTAGAAATAAAGCCTGCGTTAAACAAAATTCGCTCCCCTTTTGACTGCACTCTACTTAGATTCGCTTCCTTCAAGCAAATATATTTTTCTCTCCTTTAAAGGACCAGTTTAAATTGTTAAAAATTTTCTTTAGTTTAGTAAAAATTTAGTTTAGTTAAAACAAATAACAAGCCAAACACGCAAAAAATCATTTCAAGTGCTGCACATAAACTATGTAACACTTATGAACGCCCACCGAGCAAAGTTGCCGTTCTAATTTCCTAAAGTGAAAGAATGTCAGAAAGTAAGCAAAAAACCGGCAGCACCAGCAGTGCGTTTCTAACTGCACAAGTTCGAAAACTTTGCATTGCCTTTGAAATTAATTAATTAATGTCAAGTAATTTTTCATGCATTCCTCCACTCACTATGCCATGTGTGTAAGCGTGTGCGCATGTGTGTTTGAGTTTGCCTGCGCGCGACTACGATAAATAATTTCATGCAACTACTCGCAAAGCCACAATTGCACTTTTTGCCGACGTAGGCGCCGCCGCGTCGACTGCTCTTATCCTTAATTATGCAGCCGAGCACACTATGCCCAATAGCAAATTTAATGTGAAAACCAAAGCCAAAGCCAGAACCAGAGCCAGAGCTAGAGCCATAACCAAAGCGCCAAAGTAGGCAACCAAATCAAAAGCTGGCAAACAAGTAAATTGCAGCGGGAAAATGATAAGGCTTGTCGAGTTTCGCAAACTTGCAAGCGTTTCTTTTTTTTTTGCTGTTCTGTAAATGAGAAAAATATGAGCGCTTATATTTGCCAGCTGCACCACGCTAGTTATGCGCCTTCCTTTAGTTGGCTATTGATGACGGCATTTGTCGTACGGCGTTGAATGCGGCAAGCAGGCAAGTAGCATTTTAAGTTATGTAAGGATGTTTGTGAGTTTGTGAAAATCTGTGTTTGTCACTTGCAGGAATTCGAAAACTCAAAAAGTTTACCGGAAAGAGTGAGTAAAAGACTTTGAAAAAAATAAACTATTTGAGGCTGCCTTGAAAGTGGCATGGCATGCCTTCGCTGCATGACTTGGTTGCACGCCTCGCTTGCTAACTAGCTGACTAGACTGCCTGCTTGACTGGGCTTGGTCAGTTAGCTCAATGTTTGACAGAATGGTTGAGGCTATCTCGTTGCTTATAAGCTACTAGCATACAGACAGTGCTGGACAATTTTAAGAGCCATTCGAATGCGTCGAGTGTGGAGCTGTGGGTGGAGAAAATGCAATGGCAGCCGAAGCAAAGATGGTGCGGCAGCGTAATTTAGAAATCATGTGGCGCGCCAGTACAACGTATTGTATATTAGGGTGGAACGAAAAAAAATGAATTTTTCGATTTCGAAACTCTAATAGTGCGAAATAGTTGCGTAACAAGAAGTGCTTCATTAATCGATATTCAATTTAATCGATCTAAAAACGGCATCTCTAATGTAAAGGAGCACAAATTGTGTGTTGAATTTGTGATGAGGGAGAGACTCCGTCGACTTTGCCGGATATGCTCGACAATTTATTTTATATGGAACCAAATGCCTAGCACGGCATTCTTCAGATTCCTCAGCAAAAAAAAAAAACAAAAAATTTTTAAAAATCAACGCGATTTTCTGGCGTCTTGAAATTTACACTTCAACTATCAAAATTTAATGGGTCTTAAAACTGCGTAACTAAAATTTTTGGGAGTAATTGTAATTTTTTTTTTTAATTTTTATAATTTTTGTACGAAGCTTGAAATGTGGATTTATGTGGTGGTGGTTATAAGTGTAAAATTTTTGTTTTCAATTTATTTCTTGTTAAACCTTATAAAATTCATCTCTGGATATATGGCTACACTTTACAATCAGTTAATAAGAATTAAATTTACGGAAAAATTAAATAATATGGTCGCATAATCGAATAACGCAAAATACCCGTAAGGTGTTGCTAAGGGGCCTTTAAAACGCTGCTTTTGGTTTTGAACTCAATGATCAAAGATTCAAGCAAACAATTTAGACTCGAGTACCTTACAGGGCAGTTCTGGCAAAGATCGTTCAAAAGAGTTTTGTTATTCTAGCACAAAAGTCTTGGACTCTCTCATTCACTTCGCGTGGTGAAAAGCTATTTTGAGAGAAATCCATTGGTATATCACTTAGCTCGCGTCCAACAGTCGCAATGGCGGAGTGGGCAAAGCACAGGCCAACAATAGAGAGATCCGAATTCGAGTCTTTGCAGAGCGTTTTTTTTTCCCTTTTTTAATCAACATTTTTTTAACTTAATTTTACAGAGTCTTAATTAAATTTAATTTTAAGAAACGTGTTTTAAGTAATTTTTCTTTTCTAATGATTTTTCTTTATTAAATTGTTTTTAAGGGTTTAGTTGTTATTGTTTGAAAAATAAAATTTTCTAAATTTCATTATTTTAGGAAGTTATTTTATTTTTGCTTTTTTAAATTTAATTTTTTAGTGTTTTAGTTTTTTAGTTTTTTAGTTTTTTTTTTGAATTTTTGGATTTTATTGTGTGAAAATGAAAATCAATTTTTTTACTTCATTTACTTTATTTATTTTTGCTTTTTATAGTTTTTTGTTTTTAATAATTTAATTTGCTATTCTTCTTTTATTAATTTCATTTTCTTTTTAACCGACTTCAGAGGGAATATTTTTTTTATATTTTTTTCATGTACGTTACAGTATAACCTTGGACTACGTTAACAGATTTCTATAATTCTTTCTATTTATAGAAAAAAAGGTACCTCAGAGGTGGTCTCATACTAATTAGGTTTAGATCCGATCATTAGATTGTATATATTGTATTGAGCGTTGAAAGCCATAATACCTAGAAGGCTTGGTGTGGATTTCTACTTACTTTTAATGTTTCAAAAAATCTCTCAAGCTATTTTGATTATTTTATTGCAGTTTTTAGCCCATAAAATTTTAATAAAAAAAGTGCTGCCCAATTTTTGTTTTGTTCGACCTCTTTTTTATATACCCTAATGTAATATGCCATTGCATGCACCAATGCATGTGTCATGTGTGCCTTAGCGCCGACTTAAGCTTACTGCCGGATGCGCATATGAGTGCGCTAGTTAACGTCGAGTAGAAAGCTGTTAGCGTAATTGATGGCAGAAATCCGCCGGTGAAGCAACCAGCCATGTATGTACTCTCGTTGTTCTGGCGTACTTATGTTTAGCGCCTTTTTGCCTACTTTCGGCATTACTTTAAGTATGGCATATGTACATAGTATTATGTATGTGTACGTCGTTAGGCTTCACGTGTCTCTGCAACGGAAATGTGCTTGTATTTGTATCCTTCCACAATTTTAATGCTCATCATTACAGAAAATGGTTTAAAAGTTTCGTCCACATTATTACCTTGGCTTATTTTCATTGTTGCACAAAGTCGCTCCCGTGCCACCTACTGCCTTGCGCTTTCTCACAAACCAGCTTCTTGCCTCTTCACTAACTACTAGTAGCTTGAACAGTTTTAAAAGTGCACTGGGGAATCGCACTAGCTACATAGTTATTGGCGTGTCTTGGCAGCTACTCTCAGTGCCATTGCCATGTGCATTTAATTTTTTACACACACACACATACATATGTGTATGTATAATTTAGTAATATTTGGTTTGCATGTACTGTGGCAAGAATGTATTAAATAGCATGCTGGGACACTTAAAATTTTAACCAGAGTAGTCAAAGTGGGCTAAATATGCTCCACCACAATTGCAGGGATAGATTGCAAGCCACCGCTGCTTAGGCCACTTTCTAAGTTCTCTCTGTCGTTTTGAGCTACATACTTATACATACTGTAACTCCCTTACCAGCTGTACTGCGCCGCTCTTCGCTTTAAAAACTTTGAACTTTTGAGTCATTTCGATTATTTTACACCAGCAGCAGCAATGGCAACTTTGCCTATAACATTTGCTACTACCATGCTCGTCGTCTTTTGAACTTATGTACATACATACCCACCATACACATTTTACATGCAAGCGCATCTTCTCACCTTGCTTTCTCTTTTCCTACCGTCCTTCCGTCTGTCTGCACTTCCCTACGTGCATGCTCTAGGCGGATCGCTTTCTTTTTCGACCTCTAGGGAAGCTATTAACTTTTGTTTTATGGACTAAACTAATGATTTGTGTACATGGCGTTGGTGAGTTGCCGCATGCCGACACGGCGCCTGAATTGCTGTCAACAGCTTAGCTTGCGAGCAGCGGCAGCAGGAGCTTAGATCAGGAAGAGTCGGCTGGTGTAAGGTGTTGCCTTAATGCTATTTTACAAAGTTACTAGGTAAACTTACAGCTGGTATTAGTTGACAGCCTAGAATGAGGTATGTATGTATATCCACAGCGCACTTGATTTAGTGGCATAAGTGGGAATCACACATGTGTGAAACTATTTATGTATGTACATACATATGTTAGCATGTGGTTAAGAGATTTTGCAGTTGTGTGGTGACTGTAGATGTGATATGAAAAAATGTTTGTAAATTTCTTACCCACACTTCAAAAAAACGTTTAATTAAATAATTAATGATGATGTCAGCATTTGTCTGACGAGAAAGGAAGCCTCGACATCGAAGAGCTGTTGTCGCCAACCGATTCTCATACCTGCTATTAAACCGATGAAATTATGCCAGTAGCGGAAAGAATGCGTAATTATAAGCGCCCCACTTATTGATTAGTTTTAACAATACATTTTTTCCTACATTATTTTAGTTATTTTTTTACGAAAATATAGTTTATTATATAAAAAGAAGCACATTTGAATCCAAGTCAAACACTTTGCGCAATATTTAAAAAAATTCAAAAAGCTTTCGTAAAAGCTTCGAGCTTTTCAATTCGACTTCATAGAAAGATCGTGAGTAATTCATTTTGTAGTCCATTTAATTTTAGTTCAATAAATTGCAAAAGAAGTAATTGGGACTTAGTAAAGATTTTTGGGATTTTATTTTATTTTATTTTCTTCAAAATGCCGCCTCAAGTGGGTATATATCTTGAAAGGGAAACATTTTAGAGCTTAATTTGTTAAAGCATGAAACTTTTGATATTTTTAAAGTTTTAATTCCTACAGACCGAAAAGAGCGTTTGTTGAAATAAAATTGGGCATAAATTCTATTCTTTGGAAGCCTAAGTAAGAGTCCCTAAAATTTACAGAAAAATCTAAATTGGGTCAGCGACTTCAATTAGACGATTTCATATGGAACGACTCATACTCGTAAAATGCCCGCCCTAGGGATCGATATTACCGTTAGATAATTTTTATCCTGAGTAAACGAAAAAGGTAGTAACTGGCCATAACTGAAGAAAATACTAAAAGTCCGCATGTATGTATTATATTTGTACTCCACCTTTTCACTTCCCGTAGTATTTTGTGGCTACAATAATTTCAATCTGACGTAAGTTAATACCTCAATTTAGCTTAAGGAATGCAAAAATCTTATAAATTTTACTAAAATATATAAAAATATAGAAAAGTAAAATAAAAAAATTCTAAAAACTAATACGCACTCATTCACACAAAGCTGCAGGAAAAATAGGGCATAGCCAAAATAATTTTACTTCAAAAATTTAATAACATTTTACTGAACGCACTTTACAGCATGTATGTTTGTACGTATGCAGTAAAATTGCAAATATTTAGCTACATATGTAAGCAAGTAAATTTCTGAATAAAAAATCTTAATTATTTTTTTGTTTACCACTTTCAATTGTACTTTTTTTTTTAACACAATGGCTTTGGTATGCTTGCCCTATATAGGTATGCAGTTAAACAATTATGTGTTTTTTGTTTTTCTTTTTCAAAGTGTGCTAACAATTGCAAGCCTGAATTTTTAAATATATTACATACTTTGCATTTAAGTGAAATATTTGGCTCCTAAAGGCATATGAAAATCGTTATTTTAAAAAAAATTTGTTCATTTCTAATGTTTGCTTAATAACACAAGCCTGTGTATGTATGTACATTAGACCGCACCGCCGCAGAAGCTAATACAAAATAACACAGTTCGCTGTACACTTCTGAGTTTAAAATACTTTTTCAAGGTAATTTGGATTTTTTTCTCTCTGAGAATGTGTTCTGGCATTTCCTCAGCTTACAGAAGCATCAGACATTTGTTTCTGAAAGATTCATTTAGCTGAGGTGATTGCGAAGGGAGCCAATGTCCCAGTAAGAGTTTTTAGGTCTTCGCTGCCTAAGTTGAATAGTTTTTTTTTTGTGAAGCTTCTTTCGAAGGGCTTCTTTTAGTGCCGCGGTGGCCGCCTCTTTTTCTATTAAACTAGAAAAGGAAGGTATTCCAACCAAGACGCTGAGTGCATCAGCATGGCAGGTCTTCAGCGCCCGTCTAATGCCAATGTAAATCATTCGGTGCAATTTATTTAGTTTTGTGCCTGCAGTCCTTTGTGTAGCCTTGGTCCACCATGCTAAGGATGCATTGATAGAACCCATTTATTTAGTATTGGACCTATACATACACTTGCTCATCAAGGCACCATCTATTGCCTTATATGATGTGTTATAAAAAGCCCCGGAGATGTCAATAAAGGCACAAAGGGCTATATTTTTAGACTACAGAGCTTTCTCAATTTTTAAGGTGGGGCTATGAATGGCAGTCTCAATGGATTTGCCTGGCAAATTGGTTCTTGTTCAGAGGCTGTTCCCTTAGGTTGACTTCTCTGATATAAAAGATTAGCGCTTACACATATCGTCACAGGGGTGTACGTACGGCGAACTTTTTTTCCGGTACACTCTAATGTTCATACATACAAGTTGTGAGCTACATATGTATCCACGTAAGTTTGGTTGCGTATCTGCTGGCTTATCAACAATTCAGGAATTTTTCCTTAGAAACTTAAAACCTGAATAACATTTCTGGTAAACCAAAATCGAAAAAAAACCAAATAATGAAATTACAAACGAATGTACATACAATTTTTAAAAATCTTTCTCATATTTGTTAAAATTGGAGAATTTAGCTTAAGACACGAATTTTAAAAGCGCATCTGCGTGTTTGCTTTTGAGGAGCTTAATAGATGGTGTGCATAAATCCGCTTAGAACCTCTTTGTGTTGTGCATTAGTGTGTTTTCATGAATAATTGGTTTTTTGCTTACATAAGTATATATTTCGAAAGACAAAAACTCGCATATACACATGTATGTATGTATGTACATAGTGTGTATGCATAAGAAATTTTATGGTTATTTCCAAGAAAAAAATGTACGCTAGTTGATATCTATTGGTTACTATTTTGCATATGTGTGGGAAAAAGATCGATAATTTCTATGAATATATTGAAAACTCTCCACAGTCGCTATGGTGAGTGGTAAGAAATGCATACTATCACTCCGTAGGACATGGATTCGATCCTTGTTCCGAGCAACATCTTCACCCTTGTGGTCAGCTGATTAAGTTAAGTGATATTTTTACCAGTTTTAACTAATTTTCTTACCGACTATAAACGTCAAATAAAAAATAATATTTTTGTATTTTTTTGTTTTTTGATTATTTTTAAGACTTTTAGATTATACTTTTGTGAGGGTATACCTTAGTATGGAATCCTAGGTACGAATTGTGCGAAAACTCATAGAATATTTATCAATACAACAGACACTCAAAATAAAAGCATAACATTTGTTAACAAATACATAACGGGTTAATATGTCAAAAGAAGGTAATTTTTATATAACTTCCTACAGATGCCCATAAGTGCATCCATGATAAAATCACTGAAAGGCAGTCTGATGTTTGGTTCTCATTTTCAAACTCAAACAACAACCATTGTGAACGCATTCTTTTTATTTATTTTTTATGGTTTTAAAATGCTTGCACATGTCAGAAAAAAATCATGGCCCACGAATTGAGACAATGTTTTTATCTTGTATTTTTTTATCACGGTTACATCTGATCTTATGTTTCTGTTAACAGTTGCAGTTCTCCTGTTTCTGCACACAAGGGTTAAACATGCGTTTTCAAACACAAAAAGAAGTAGGTACTCACCCTCGGACTGTGTAGATGCTGTATTCGATTAGCAAACTGTGCTATTGTTGTTGTTGAGGTCTTCCACACTAAAGTATCCACAAGCGAGTGCTCTGACACGCCGGGACATAGAATAGTAACATTCTTTCTAGCTTCAGCGACCACATTGACGTATTCCAAGTTTGTCACATCTGAAAAGAGAAAATTAAAAAAAGCATTGGGTAAAATTAGATAGATACGGGTATAATTATTTAAATTTTGTGAAAAATTAGGGCGTAAATACATATGTATGTATGTAATAGTTCATTTCCAACAAGTCTTAACTGCAGTTTATGCCTATTGGATAACGGAGATTATAGCTCCTAGCTAGGGAGTAATTACTCCTACAGCGTACAAGGCAACTAAAGTCAAAAAGCAAAAAATAAAATGTAAAATAAGCTTTACCGATCAGCGCGTGTTAAAATTTTTGGACCTTACCTCAGCTCTTAATAGGAGCTAAGCTTCTGATGGAAAAATTAAAAAGCTATTTGAATTAAAAAGTTTTGAAGCAGTAAAGGTTAAGCTACATAATATTTCTTGTTTCAATATTAAATATATATCAATACAGGAAATTTTAACATGTGTAGATTAGATTGCGGTGGTCGTTCCTAGTGGGGGCACAAGTGGATATTATAGAGGCTATGCGTATTGATATCACCTGATTTTAAATGGGAGCCACTACTCAATCGAAGAAACGCGGCGAGTGTATGACGAAGTTAGGTCGCAAGAGTTATCCAGAGTTGGTTGCAGATTGGAGGAAGAGCGGAATAAAGTAAATTGTTAAAGTGATGCCAACGACAGAAACGATCAACTGTGATTTTTGTTGTAATGGGGTGTATTCCGATCAGCAATTGATGGTCGAGAATGATTTACATCAGCCGCTCTTAGCCCATTGATATCGTTTTAAAGGAAAAGTTTCTTATCAGCAATACTAAGGCGGTCGGGCATCTACATGGGTCTAACTGGAAAATATTCGGATGTAGTTAGGAGGAGGGTTAAGTACTGACTGACCTATTTTGAGCTGCCTGACTGCCAGAGTAAGTACTTATTTACTTAGTTAATTATTGATTATTGAAAGGCAGATACTTCTGCTAAAAAAAACACTGCATTAGTAAAGCCATGCTAGTAACGATACCTTCCTATTTAGGAATAGCCCAGAGTATTTGACACAACGAACGATGGCCTAAAAACAGAAAGCTCTGCTTTTCATCAGATGGGCGACCGTCTGCTTTTAAAGGAGTCTTTGCGGGCTTGATCTCTCTAGAGTGCCTCTGCATGTAGAACTGAAAGCTTAGATAAATTCAAACAAGAAGTCTACGTAAGCTACCGAGCTCTGTTTTGATGCGACAGGCAGGGCGAGATGCACATTTCGGCTGCGCAAATTCATGTTCTTATCTTTACAATATGTACTACATACATAAGGGCGGGTCAATTTGTATGGGAGCTTTTTTCTTGCCATGAGCGTATAACACAGAGCATTCTTCATGTGATTCTGAGAAAATTTGCCAAAGAAACTGTGGGTCCTAAATCTTTTTAAAGTTTGCTAAATTGCCAAAATAGGTTTCTTAGCTTTTTGCTGTAGTGTCGCAAAGAAGTGCTTAAATTTTGCAAAAAAATATGCTTTAAGAGGTTTTCTGGTATGTATGTAGAATCCATTCCTGCACTTACCTTTTTCTTAAAATTTCCACCAGAGGGTGCAACATTGACAAGTGAGGGCAAACTTTGAACTGATTTAGGACTCATAGTTTCTTTGACAAATTTGCTCAGAATTACACGTAGAATCCTCCTAAGCCATACGCGTGTAGTAAATAAAAATAGAGCTGCCCTAACATACATACTTATGATTCGAAAAGAAGCGATGCGAGGTACGAGCTAGTAATGTAGGAGTAATGTGAGTGAAGTTAAGGAGTAGCAAAAAACAGTGGAGCCTTTCTCCAATTCCATTTAAATGCATAGATCTCCACTCAATACACTGTACGGCAAAATCAACTTTTTTTCTGGGTATTGGACCAAACCAATTTTTTTTTTTAAGATTGAGTCATAGGTAAACAAATTATATATAAGTTTTTTTTTTGTGCAAACTTATATTGCAGGTGTTATAAGGGGAAAAAGTTCAGGTCTTCAAAATATTTAATTCCTTATATTTCAAACACTTTTGAACTGATTAAAAAAGGAACAGTCCAGCGCCTTCGTCTTGGCCTGCAGGCTGTATCGGAGATACAGCCGCTAAATTTAAACGTAGAATACGTGGTATGGTTAAGAGCATATCCAAGTAAAAAAAACAAAAGCACACACTAAGCAAAAAATATCGATAGCAAAAGCGATAATAATATCGGTAGCAAAATCGATAAAAACATCGATAAAGAAATCGATGAAAATATTGATATCAAAATCGAAAAAATATCGAAAGCAAAATCGATAGCAAAATCGATAACAATACTGATTACAAAATCG